ATGATTTTGATTTTGATTGGTATTGAGTTTGTAGTTGGAATAAAAAATTGAGTTAGGTTAGGGTTAAGACTTGAATCAAACTTAGGGGTTTGATGATTAAAAAATTAATTATGTTAATTGATGCTTGAAAGGTAATAACGAGTGGTGTGAAATTAATTATTAGGCTATGGGTTTAAGAAATTTTCAAGTTAGTTGAAGATGATGAATAGTAAGATATGAAATTTTAAAAGGTTGAAGATGATGTATAGTAAAATACAAATTTTAGGATTTATTGGTTAATTGTTGAGTAAAGAGTTTAGTTATAAGTGTTTTGATTGGAGTGGAGGATTTATTATGGATTAATTTAATGATAGGAATTAAATTTTTTTGAAGGTTAAGGAAAAATGATGGATTATGTAGGTTGGTTATGTGAATAAATTAAATTGGGAATTGATGATAAATAATTGAAATTGACGATGGACAATTGGATTGTTAGAGAATGATTGTAGAGTGAACTTAGAATTAATTAGGTAATTTTTTAGTATTGGTTGAGAGGAAAGAGTTTAGTTAAGATCACCGATTAACGTCATTCTTATAAATTATCTTGTATTTTAATTTCTAGAGTAATTCATTTGTTTTGAATTATTCTTTGATATATGGTATTGATGATTACTCCACTTCTTTGTATCACTAGATTCTTCAAAGCGGGTGACTCCATCTCAATAATTTTGATTTCATTCGATCATTGATTGTACTATAAGTGGATATTATATAATATATTATATTTTTAGATTCCTTTGATATATCTGTCATACATCATTGATTTAATTATGACATAATCACATCCATTAGAACTTAGATGGGAGTGGAACCTTGTATATTTGAAATGATTTAATATAAAAAATTATTTGATATGGTTTTGAAAAGGGATTTGAATATGTGTTTGAATAAGTGTTTTACTTAAGGCTTGATTTGTGTTTATGAATTGCATTATTAGATCTAATTTTAAGCATAAATTGTATTTGATACATTGGATTTGGACATTTTTGAAATATATATAAGTTTATGTGATTTTTTATTTAATTGGTTACCTTAGGCTACCTTGCTTCAAAGGGCATAGCTCGTAAGCTCACTAGTATGAAAATGCTTCAACTAGCGGGAGAGGTGTAATGCTAGCTCTTGAGTCGATCAACACACGATATACCTAGTTATGGAGGGTTTAACCTTTAGTTGTTCACATCCAATGATACATTATATTTGTTTCACCCTAAGTATAAAGTTAAATATTTGATTTGATTTGATCATTATATATTTAGATTTTGATGTTTGATACGGTTTGGATTTAAAGAATTTAAGTTGGGATATATGATTTGATGTTTATAATGTGTATTTAACTTGAGAAATAAGCATTGCATCTTGAGCAAGTTTTGAATTATCATCCCTAGTTTATTTCCCTTCCTTAGATATGTAATATAGTATCTACTCACAAAGTCGTTCATTTGCCCACACTCCACTAGTTTAGTTTTACAAGGTTTGTGAGATTATCCTTTTTACTTCCACAAAGCTACTTGTCTTGAAGTCGATATATAATTGTATGGCTTATTTACTTGTAATCTTTTGAAACTTGTATTTTGATATCTAGTACTCTAGAGCTCTGTAGTTATAGTTGTGAGAGTAGTATTAAAATTTGATTATGGATATTACTTTTGGGCAATGTAAGAATACAATGGAATTATTAATTGTGCTAGAGTTATAAAATAGTAAGCTGTTAAGTTGTGATATTGCAAATTATAAGTGATATACAATGTGCTATAGGTTTGAGAATTATAGTTTAGATATTTGAGACTTGCTTTAGTCGAAGTGGGTCCCATGATATGTTATATTTGTTTCACCCCAAGTATAAATTTAAGTACTTGATTTGATTTGATAATTCTATATTTAGATTTTGATGTTTGATACGATTTGGATTTAAAGCATTTAAGCTATGATATATGATTTGATGTTTATAATATGTATTTGACTTAAGAAATAAGCATTGCATCTTAAGCGAGGTTTTGAATGATCATCCCTAGTTCATTTCCCTTCCTTAGATATGTAATGTAGTATCTACTCACTAAGTCGTTCATTTGCCGACACTTCACTATTTTAGTTTTGCATGGTTTGTGCGATTGCTTTTTTTACTTTTACAAAGATAATTGTTTTGAAGCCGACACATAATCGTGCGGCTCATTTATTGTAATCTTTTGGAACTTATACTTTGATATCTAGTACTCTAGAGCTCTACTTGTTATAGTTGTGGGAGTAGTATTAGAATTTGATTATGGATATTATTTTTAGGAAATGTAAGAATAGTATGGAATTATTAATTGTGATGGAGTTATAAAGTAGTAATCGTTAAGTTATGATATTGCAAATTATAAGTGATATACGATGTGTTATAGGTTTGAGAATTATAGTTTAGATATTCGAGACTTGCTTTAGTCGAAGTGGGTCCCATGGCTCCTTCGATTCTTGTGCCGATCATGCCTCTTTTCGAGGGTCATGAAAAAGTTGGTATCGGAGCATAGATTTCGAGTCTAGGGTAACTATAGAGCATAGGTTTTATTCTAATCCATGTATTTGCTTTGAATTTTATAGATCAATCAATTAGTGTGCATTTTTTTCAAATGTGAACCGAGTTGATTATAGTTCCATCATGTAGCCAAATAAATTTAACAAATTACTTTAGTTAGCATCCATTTTCTTTCCCATAAAAGTTCACTAATTGACCATACGAGATAATTTTGAACACTTGGATTCCTTTTTAAACAAGATGTATGAAGTAAAAAAAAAAAAAATTAGAGGTAGTTTTTTAATATATGAATTTTCTTTTGAAAAATCTTGCTAAATTCGCTTTCTTAAAAAAGAAAGAAAAGAAAACAACTATTAAGCTAAAGATAAATTAAGAAATTCAATGTGGATCAAGGGTCAAGAAACCGCACACAATTTGGTATTATTGTGGCCTAAAATGACAGCTATGGGTAACTTTCCTTGGACTAAACATTGAGTCTTATACACGTAACATGCCTAATGCTTTAAAGAAATAGTAGCTATTTATGACTTTCTCGGACTTTTGTATACTGAAATTATAGATGAACAACATTCGCTTTTAATCGAATTAATCAAAATCAAAATAAAAAAGTTTGATTTTTTTCACGAACAATCGAATTGAAATTCGATTCGATTTCGATTTTTGTTTCTCTTAATTCAATTAATCGAAAACCGAACCAAACTTGTTTGAAATCGAACCGAATAACTATTTGCTCATCCCTAGAAATACCCTTCACTCCTATAACAACCAACCACCATTGGTTTGTTATAAGTAGTGGTATCCTTGTCCGTATTATGTGGACACACAAAGATCTTGAAGTCCCTTCTCATTTTCTTAAAATCTTTGCTAATAGAATAACAAAAAAACAAAAAAGTCCTATCAAAATCAAGAAACAAGATAAACCTACCAACGTTAAGAAACAAGGTGAACTCATTGCAAGTTTTTAATGAATTTTATTCAAAACAACCAATCAAAAAATAAACAAGCATTTTGACCAAAAAAATCAACTTTAACAAAATTAGGACTTTTTGAATATTTTTAATCATAGCTAACAACACTTTCAAAACATTATATATATATGTAAGTTTTCCTCAAGACTCTATCTATGTAATGTTAATTCAAAAATTTATGGATTAAATACATTTTTTTCAAAAATTTAAAAATTATTCTTATGCGTTAATATATTTTGTCTCAGTTTGTACTTGATTCATTTTTTATTCAACCTTAAACAGCCACCCAAACCTTATTAGGATTTTTTTAGAATTTTCAAACACAATTAACAAAACTTACAAACTACAAAATAAAAAATCTTTTGAATTTTGCTCGGGATCCTATACATGTAATGTTAATCCAAACATTTTATGGATTAAATACATTTTTATTAAAAAAATTTAAAAATTATGCTTACGCTTTTAACATAGCTTATTTCAGTTTTGAATTATTCTCTACTCACCTTTGATTCAACCTTAAACAGCCACACAAACCTTTAATCAAGAAAATAATTTATTTTTAAGAGATTTTGATGTCATCGTTTGTTGGATTTTTGAGTTCTCTCTCTTCGGAGAGAGAAAGAGATGAATAGAAGAGAGAAAATGAAAAGTTGAAAATAGTCTGGCAATTATATACATAAGGGTAGTTTTGTTATTTTATGTTTTACATGTCTGAAATTTCATGGTAAAAATATCCAGTGTATAGTGTAATTTATAAAAAGTGAGAGTGCAAAGTGTTCCCGCTGTCAAAGGTGTTTAAAATAATTTAGCTTAAAAGGAATGTAAATTAGTTTAACCAACGCCTTATGTTATCAGTTACTGTTAGGATCAGTTAACGTTTACTCTGTTATTCCTCCTTTTATCAAGGCCAGAATCTCCTGCTGCACCTTTATAGCAGCCAAGGGCTTTCATACAGTCGAGGACTATTCTCAAGGTTGCGAATAACTCTGGGGCGAGAAAGTTGTTGTCCATAAATTTGAAGGGCAAGAAAGGTCCTAGATTGTGGGACACCATAGTTGCGTCAATCCTAATGGAAAAGCTCAGAAAGGGAAGGTTGTGTATGATGTGGTTGTGCGTACGTGCTTCCATGCAGCGCTGTCGTTTTCCTCGAAGTGAGGTCAAGTTTGATGATAATGCAGTAGTAATTGCTGACAAGAAAGGCAAGCCATTTGGTTCCAAAATGTTTGGGCCTTTTCCATATTAGCTGAGGATGAAGCATGCCAATATCCTTACCCTGGCAGGACACATTAAAGCGTTAAGACTTTTGGTTTCTTAGGTGTGAAATACCTTCAATATTGTTGATAATTTGAAATAAGAAAAGAAAAGAAAACTGGTTCAGTACCAAGCCGAATTTGATTGAACTCAACGCAAATTACCAGCTGGCTTTTGCAGCAAAACTCATCATTTGCCCATACATTCAGGCATGCCTTTCCTGTACGTAGTTATGCTTGCAACGGAACCACTAGCCCTTGTTGCAGGTGCTGATCATCGCGTACTGCAGGAGTAAGAAACTTGGTGATTGCAGTTATCTAGAATCTGTTTTTGACGAGTAGTATATTCGCTGGAGTGCAAAAATATTGAAAGATATAGCAAGTATATACAAGGAGGACTTAAAGCTCAATTTTTTTTTTTTTAATCCTCAAAATATCGCAGGTCCAAAAACCCATACTATTCGTCCCTGTTCTCCAAAGAAATTGCTTTTTCAAAAATTTAAAAGCTCATTTTTTTCAAGTGCAAAGAGACTCTTGCTAGTCTCTCCGAAGAAATTGCAGCACACCCCATGTCACGCAATTTAGCAAGTATAGATCCATTCTCTCTTCCTTTCCTCCATAAAAAGTCCTTTAGTAATAGATCCGTTATCTGATAATTTTGAAGTGGAAGAACACCCCTCTGGCTATTCGTGGCCACTGACAAGCACCACCTGATCTTGCTTTTTTTTTTTTTTTTGTACGCTACCTGGGCTTGCTTTCGTCCTCTAGTTAGGCTATCTGATCAAACAAGTCGTTTGTAATCAATTTTAACTCAAGAGTGATGCTACAGATTCTAATGAGTTTTTTACTAACTCAATGATGTGGCTATATGTGATAAATGTATATAAATTCAACATTCATAATACCACATTAAGTATGAAAGGTTTATCCTATTATGATTTTAAAAGGTTTTTCTAATGAAAGTATCATATCACTTAGTGAAATATTACAAGTATATCTAGCATTATTTTTTAACTTAATTTTGTAAGCAGTTTAGATTTATTATGATAAAATTACTGATACAAACTTAAAACCAAAAGGAAACCGTCCGATGATTCAAACCTAGCAAGTTAAGAAAAGGAGTGCTATTTTCTAATGAACACAAATGAATAAATCTAAACTGGTCGCAGGACAAGAAATAAATAAATTAATAAAAAGGACTAGCTTTTTTACGCATAGAAAAAAAAAAAGCAGAATGGAAAATATTATTCAAATTTAAACTACGACGAAAAATTAAATCAGAAGCTTATTTATATCAAATATAACGGGACGTAGTAATCATGTAAATAGTTTTTTTTTTTTTAATTATGTTACTACTTAAAATTAGTTTTGAATGTTATTTTATTAAAATACTGAATTATTTATTTAGTTTCTTAAATCAATTCAAAATAGCATTCAAGACTACATACAAAAATAACATAACAAACCAAATATCATGTTATCATGTATTGACCGTTTAAATTATAAATTAGTTTTTTTAATTTCAAGAAATGAAGAATTATTTTTCAAAAAAACTAATTATTTAGTTTCTATATATTTATATTTTTTGTAATGTAATATTTTCCCTCTTTTTTTATTTTATTTTGATTTTTTATTTAAAAAAAACAGAAAAATAAAAATAAACAAAAAAAAATATGAAAGAATTGATGAGAAAAGATGACATTTTATAAAATAAAATAATCATTAAATTAAGTATATCAAATACTGGTTTAAAAATTAATTTTTTTATAAAACATAGAGGAATTAATTTGTAATTTACTTCGTATTGATCATGTGGAAGTGGAGGTTGGAACGCAGTTATTATTATTTTTTTTCTTTTAGGGTAAAAAAAGAAGAAGAAGCATTAACTTCGAAAGGCCTACTTCAGCTTCGGGCCCCAAATGAAGAGTACAATTCAGGCCATAAATTAAAGACCCGGCCCAAGTTATTTCTAGAGAGGGAGCAGCCGAGTTCAAAATACTGAAAAATAAATAAATAAATAAAAGAAATCAAGAAACCCTCCCTCTCTTTATACTCAAGATAGTTCACATTCCAGGCATCATGTAAATTTGTCCAACTCGCTCTTCTCCTCGTTTGAGCACAAGATTTGTCGTGTAACCTACAGAAATGGCTGTTAGTTTTGTTTACTCTCGTAATACGTGATTTCCTGTTCCGTTGTTGTGTTTTCCTTCTTTCTTTTATTTATACGAGTTTTTGTGGTGTTGTGTACATTTTTTGAATCATGATTTTGTTGAAAGTTTTATTCTTCTCGTAGTTATGGAGCTTCAATGTTCATGATTAGGATTCAATATTAGGATTCCATGCCTTCGTAGGGGTTTTTAACTGTTTTAGTTGAGTTGGATATTGGGTTATTTGATTCTGGGGATTTTAGATTCAAATTTATGCTCAAGGCAAAGAGTTATTTGTAGCTCAAAGGCTCTTCATCAAGCTTGGATTGTGTGCATCTTAAACTTGTTGATGAGACTATAACTTGTCTGCTTGTAAAGCCCCTCCAGTTGAATTAGGTATTCTTAGGAGACATTTGGCTTCCGAGTTTTTGATTTCGATAATAAAAGGCCTTTGAAGATAACATTTTGCTGAGGTAAAACTAAAATAGATGCATGACTTATGTTGGTGATGAGGTATGGCTGAGCTATTTTGATTGTAAACCAAATCGTTTATAATTTCTCCTACCATGAGAGCCTCAGGCACAGCTGTTTCTGGTGTCAACTCTGCTCTATCACTTCATTATTATCATTGCAACCTATTTTACTGGCAGCAGCTTGAGTTTCATGCCAATTCAATGAAATGTTCTCCGAGTCAGTAACTTCTGTTTATTTGTGGCCTTGAGAATTTTTCACGTGAAACGTGGTATTCTTATTTTTAGTGCTGTAATACATTCCATGCAACATTTTGTTTCCTTGCAATTAGTTTCTGCAAATTTTCATTACTTGGTTAAGGTGCAATTTGGCAATTTCTAGGATGTGCTGGTAACATTAGATGCTTAAGAATTGTGGCTGCTCTAGTGTTATTAATAACAGTGTAGTTGTAAATCACGAAACCACAGTTATTGATATATTAAGGAATATTTGATTCCTTTTCAACTTCTCCTTCATGGTGGTTGGGAGTATTAGAAAGAAAATACCCGAAGACCTAAATTTACCATATTACACACTGCAGTTAGTGGAATTATGATTTAGTTCTAGATTACCTGTAAATGTCACACTGTTATTCACTTGATTTATACTAGTGGTGGACAGTTATTAATCCATTAGGTATGGAGTAGGATGGCTTGCTGCTTAAATGTTTAGCTATGAAAATAGTTGAATGTATGAGAAAATCTTCCAAACATGGATATTTTTAGTTTCCTTGAGCCTTTTTTTTTCTTTATACTATTCAATGATTTCAACTTCTTAGTGATGTTATGCTCGTGATTTCTTTTCATGAAAACCAAGAGTTTAGTTTGGTTTGCATGATTAAGTGACAAAATTTTATCTATCCACTTACTGGATTTTTTGCATGATGCAATGGAAAACAAAATCAGCGGGCCGTTCATTGCTTGGGGACCTTGGCAACAATGTTTGTAATTTACTGAGCATGTCCACTCAAATGACATGGAGTGATTTCTTATGTCAGGTTAGATCATTTCTCCGTGTACTTTTATTAAATTAAGTGCTAAATCTCGTACCATAGAAGTTTCAGAAATTGTGAGGTGTATTTCCTATGTACTTGAAAAAGTTGAGTTTAGAGGTGCAAGACGTTTTCAAGTAAATTGGCTCTTATTGGGATCTGAAATCGTGAAGGAGTTCTGCTATTTTCTATGGGAATGGCTGGGAAGAGACATTTTCTCTTGAAATAGCCGTCTCCTTCCCTTCAATTTGAGAGATTTACAATTGTGCCTAGTTTTCTTAGAAAGAACTTAAAACAGGGAGAAAAGGTTGTTTCTTGGATGTAAATTATCTTAACCAATGGATAACTTTATCAGTTATTGCTAGGATTAGTTAATGCCTTCTCTGTTATTGCTCTTTCTGATCATGGACTGAATGTCCTGCTGCTTTTTCACTGCAACAAAGGACTTTCATACAGATGAGGATTGTTCTCAGGGTCGTGGATAACTCCGGGGCAAACAAGGTGATGTGCATACAACCTTTGAAGGGAAGGGGCGAGGTTGGGGGACATCATAATTGCATCTGTAAAGGAAGCTATTCCAACCGAAAAAGTGAAGAAAGGCGAGGTTGTGCGCGGTGTAGTTGTGCATGCTGCCATGCAATGTGGCTGTTGTGACGGGAGTGAGGTCAAGTTTGATGATTATGCAGTAGTGATTATTGACAACCAAGGCCAGCCAAGGGGGAGCAGGGTTTTTGGGCCAGTTCCACATGAGCTGATTAAGAAAAGGCATGTCAAGATATTTGCTCTGGCAGAGCGTATTGCCTGAGGTATAGATTACTCTGGTTTCTATCTTGTCAGTTGCTCATTTGAAAAAAAAAAAAAAGAAGCGGGGGTAGAGTTTTAAAGAAAAAAACATAAGAGTTCTGTAGTTTCTTGAAGAATATTATAGCATCCAGTGTCGAGCAACTAGTTATTGCAGCAAAAGCCATCTTCTGCTCCTGGATCCAGGCATGTCGTTTGTGTAGTTCCTGCTTGTAAGTTGTATTAGGATCCTTGTCTAGTCGCTGATTACTGCAGAATAATTAAACCGAGGAATCGTGGCTGTAGTAACTGGACTGCTAAAAAAGGCCGTGGCGAGTCCTTTAAAAGCCTATTTTTCCCAAGCAGATAAAGTTATTTTTTCCGTTGAGAATAAAAAAGCCCCTTGTCAATGAAATCCACCAACCGGAAAATCCTTCATTTTCTTCATTTCCTGTGCGTAAGTCTTTTCAGCGCTCATTTTCAGTGGACTTAAAATGTGGTGCTAAAAAAATTGAGCGCAGCAGGCGTTCTTCGTATTTAGCCATTTCGAATGTTCGATAGAATTCAAAGGAAACAAAACACCCTCTCTCATGGTAAAATACCGCATGGAATACAAGTCTTCTCCACTGCACTTGCACTTGTTGTCAGAGCTAGAATTTGCCCACCTGCATGGTCCACTTTACGACATCTTTCTCAGATGCGTACTGTTTCACAATCTGTTTTCCTTGCTTAAATGAATACTTGCCCTCTTTGCAAGTCCAACCTTGTCACTGAACCTTATGGATGGATCCACAAGTTAAATGGCTAAGATTTTCCTAAAAGTGATTTCAGGAAATATTTTGGATAAGATTAGCATTATTTTTTTACTTTCTAGCAATTTAAGAAAATGACATGAGAATGTAGATGGGCCAAGCTTAACAATTCCTCTTCCAGATTTTTGGACTGGGCTTGTTGTTTTGCTGATTTAGCCAGGATCTTGGGCACGGCAGAGCTCTTTCTTTTTTTGGGTAACAGAGCTCATGTCTGCTAGTTTATGGTAAGTCGTAACCACTAACCACAGTAATAAGGAGTTTTTTTCCCCCAGTTAAGGTATTTTAAAATCTTATTTATAAAAACGAGGCACTTTAAATCTTATTTATTAAATTAAGGTTTTTTTTTTTCCATGTAAGCTTAATTATCTATGTCTTTTTAAGTTTAATTATTATTTTTTTGATAATCAATAAACACTTATATGAAAAAAAAAAAAACTAATTCAAACAATTATATAATATTTATTTTGTTTATGTGCCGTCAATTTCTTTCTAAAAATCAACCCATCTTCTTTCTAATTAGATAATAAGATAATCATTACATTATTTTTTTCACTACAAAATCAATCCATCTTTCTAACTAAGAAGATAAACAATGCCATTAAACTATTTTTTATCCCCATTTGATTGCTATTTTCTCCTTCTGTTTCTCTTTTGCTTTCTCTCCCTATAGTTAGGGTTCTTGTCAAATTTGGAGTTAATAGACTTTTTTAACTGCAAAAATTCTGACATGTTAATATTGCTTTTGGTAATTCATTATAAAGTTAATGTAAATCTATCAATTAACCATTGTTGACCTTCATTTTGTTTTTCATTATCTTTTCTCTGCTTCTTGCGCTCCTTTTGTTTTGATACAAAATACTGTCGAATGTATAATTTTTTTTTTTTTTTGGATAAAAGATAGAGAATTAAGGCATATAACATCAAGATATGTAGGGGGAAAATTATTTATTTTATTAAAGTTTATAACCTTTACGGTTTTTATAATTTTGGATTAACACAAAATGTTCTGTTTTCGAAAATTTAGATTAGTGAATTATAATATAGAAAAAAAGGTTTTATTAATATTATTAATTATTTTTTACATGACATGAGTATTATTTTGAGAAATAAATGACTTGAATATTTCATATGGATCTTACATGGCATAAAATGTATTGTTTTAAAAAACAAGATTAAAAATACCTTATCATGATAAAAAAGATTAAAATTACCTTATTGTGAAAAAAGAAACTCCAGTAATAAGTCTTGCTGGCCCAATGTAATTACTCCCTGACTAAGATTCTGTTTCCGAAAGACAAATTGAAACAGTCATGAATCATGATGGTAGTACCACCAGAACATGCCTCAAATTAATGGTGGCCACTGACCTAATAACGACTCTTCTCATGGTTGTCCTTGTCCGTGGTCATTGCACAGCCTACATGTTTCTCCACTCTGTCACATGCCATCAAATTCACCAAGCATTAAAAACTAGTAGTATATGAATGAAGATAAAAATAATAATAATAAAATAAAATAAAAAATCTTGATATATGGATCTTAAAATAATGTCCCCACCCCCATCTCTCTTTAAAAGGAATTTCTGAACGACTTCTTCCATATTGTCTTATGTTGTAGTTGATAATATTCTTAGGTTCTTCACCGATTCAACTCTTGATACATGGATCTTGAACCAATAAAAAGGCACCGCGTTACAGTTACTTCACTTCTCGACTTCATTCAAAACTCTGCTTTGTGATGTTTTTGATAAGTATTTTCTTCAAAGTTTTGTAGACGCATCAAAAAATGTTCTTTTTCAAGCCTAAGAGGTCCATCGAGTCTAATTGTTATTTTTAAACCTAAAATTAAAACTCCACTTCTCCTGTTTTGCTGTTAATTGAGATCAGATCTTGTTCACCAAGACAGTGAGATGCAGTACTCAACTACAAGGCCCGTTGCCAAAACTCATGATATACGATTGATGAGTCTGGAGAGTGATGATCGAAATAATTAAGATTAGGTATAATTAATTTCCTTAAAACATTTTGAAGCTAGATATAATAAATTAATCGACCTCAAATCTTATACAAATTTATCTTACTTAGTTGGATTAGTTAATTAATAATCTTTTTTTTTTTCACTTTTACTTGTGCACAATAGGATATTCCTTTTATCACGATGTGTTTGTGGTGGAGCTTCTTCGTTGGGTTTAGAATTCTATCCAGACTGGCTTACATATAGAACGGAGAAAGATCAATTTTGGGCTCCATAGGGCTCATTTTAAGGAAGTGATCATGTAATGGGCTGGGAAGCCACGAAGTTATGATGGATAAATACTTGTCCCGGCTGCTATATTGACAAGAGCAACACCACATTCACTATTCAAGATGACAGGACAAAATACAATGTCACGTATGGTTAAAAAAAAAAAAATTGTGAGTATCTACGTGACATTTTAATTGCGTTGAATTTGAGCAGGCTTTTTTACCATTTTTCTAGGTGATAATAAAATTAGTAACTTGGTTGTTTTAAACCAAGAAGTTGCATTAGCAATTTTTTTTTTTTAATGATAAATGCAATTTATTTTTTTCGTTTCTTCGATTTCTACTGTTCAACAGTACTTCATTTTATTTTATTTTTCATTAAATTTTGAAGATAAAAGTATCTTTTGATCATTTTTCACCGGAAATTAGATAAATTTACTGTAAAGGAGTAAAAAAGTACATATATAAATCGACAAAATGGTAGTAGTAAAATTAGCACCCTAGCTGTTTACATTGCAAATACTGACAAATACAAACAATACAAGAATTGCACGATGTTGTTTGTGTCTTGTGATGGTTAAAAATCGTAAGTAACATAGTAGCCCGTCTTGAATGCCGGGCAGACAAAGACAGGACTGCCCCTAAAATGGGATGATTTCAGAGAAACTGAGGCGAGGCAAAGGAAAAGGTATGGTCTCTATCAACCCCACACACACTGGACCCTGCCCGTGCTGCCCGTAAAAGATAATGAAAGGACAAAGCTGACATCACTACCTCCTGTAAGCTACGCTGACAGCTCTGTCAGCGAGGCGTCAATCATAAAGCAATGGATTGCAAAATGATTTGCCTCGTTTATTGGGCACCCCATTTCTCTCTCTCTCTCTGCCTCTCTCAACCCTATAGGCTATCATTCTGATCTAGTGTCTTTGACCGTGTCTCCACCGTTGGACATATCAACTTCTCTCTTGACACGTGTATTGTGCTCACCAAATTCAATTCTACTGATCATCTAATTGGGAAAAAAAGAAAGATGATACCACTTGGTTCCCGCGAGAATCTCGCCTTATCGTGCGTGGTATTTGTAAGAGCTAAGATAGGGTAGCTCATGGAGACCGTGAATATGAGATTTTGGTTTCTCAATTTTGGAATTAAATTGCAAGAATATTGGGTCAAACAAGCAACCCTAAGTACATAACTCTTTATATATATATATATATACTCACACATCTTGGTACTTAATATGTTCATTTGTGTATATAATAACTGGCTAGAGTATTGTTATAAAACAATATTTTTTAGACAATTTTTATACAAACGCTTATAACGTTGGTTCTTATAATTAAATTCCAATTATTTGATTCATATCTTACTATTTATCATTTGACATATTTATTTACATGAAATTTTAATATAAAAAAGTTTGTTAGTCACCGCATGACTCCAAATGGCAATAGCCTTAAGTAAGGAAGGCATGGCACTCCCTTGTTACATGATTTTGCATAGAGTTGAAAGGACTTGAGTCTTCACTGGACCTCCTCAGTATGAATCTTGACAAGAATGCGGAATCTTTCGTTACCTCTCCAAAAGTTCCAGATTGCAACAATTGCTATAGCTAGTCGTCCTTTTTGCCGTTTCCGTTATTATTTTTTGTTAATGGCAAGGAAAGCCATATCTTTTCCTTCTCCTTGGGCAACCCAACCAAAAGAAGCACATGTCACGAATTTGCACACATTTGTCTTACAAGAGAGCCCCAGAGATCACCAGTGCCTTCTGTCTTATAAAACAAGTTCTTTCTAGTCTTTTGCAAGTGTTGTTAAAACAGTCCCAAAAGTAGTGTTGGTAGAGAAGTATCACGGCACCGGGAGCAGAACACCAAAAACAAAAAAGAAGGAATATATATAGGAAAAAAACAGGGAAATCACTTCAAAATTCAAGTGGAATGCACCTATATTTCTTAAGGATTTGGCCCTTTTATTCAATCTCAAGTAGGACTGATGATTCATATATTTGCTGTGTACTTTTTCTTGACTCGTCCATATATTTTTTATACTTTATTTGTGAATTAATTTCTTTGGTCAGTGGCAGCAAACTCGTGGTGTATGTGTTGCACAGGTACCAGTGAACACGATGCATAACTGAATCGTATCAGTGTGATTTCCATGAAACGTGTTGTTCAATCTATGCATGCTGCTGTAAAACGACAAACAAATTAACCAAGCTTTGATTTAAGTACTTCGGCACTGCATTTCCTTAAAGCTTTTTTCTTTTCTATTTTTCAGAAAAAGTGTGACGATTGTGATGGATCCTACAAGCACGAGTCTTCCTTGGTGGATGAACATTGGAGTGATGAACATGTGACAAGAATGAGTACAGACCATTTAACCCATCGCAATTAATACATAACATAAATGTAGGTTGGATTGTCAAAACGAGGCTTAAATGTATCCATACAAACAAGCGACGCACGGTCTGATCAGGCCATGAATCTGAGTTGATGATGTGTGATAAAGTGAATTTTTCTAAAATGATGGAATTGCATGATAGATGGAGGTCAAATTACGTGAAATACCTCCAAAACAAGTCTTTTATTTATTTATTGAAGGACTCTTCAATAATTAAGTAATTATATGGAAAGAGATGGTGGCTTGATATAACAAAGATGCAGTGATTCAAGTATTTAAAAAGATAATAAATAGTAATTGTTAGTTTAAAAAAAAAAATTAGAACCTGTAACTTTAAGCTTCTTGACTTCTTATGATCGAGAGTTATGTCAAGTTGAATGAAATAGGAGGATGGATGGTCTATTCTCGTGTTGCAATCATACTATGATTCTGATTAAGACATGAATATCTTTTATATCGATAAATTGCTGTGCGAAAAGGCATGGTAATGTTACAATTATTGTTGATTGGACAAGATTAATCTTAGAGACTCGTGTTCTTTTAATGAATATATTTTATATTTCTCTTGGCTGGTAGGAGTTGGTGCAAAGCTATAACTATTGTCTGGATGTCTAAAGATAACTCTAACTGCTCGTCCGTGGACTCATGTTAGTACCTTCGAGATACTCCTAAAATCTTCGAAATTGTTTTCGAATGAGATATCTTGAGTTGAATCTTGAAATTTCCACATATCACTATTGACTAGACCCGCAATTTTTTTGAATATATCATGCACATAATTATTTAGCTATCGAGATTGGTCAATTAAATTGGTAGTTTTTTTGTGGGAGAAAAGGGCCTCCATTCGTTTCTTTTTCTCTTCTTTTAAAATAAGGCTTGTAATCCCTTATACATTAGATTTTTTATTCTCAAAATCATGTCTCATTTTTATCATTAAAAAAAAAAAATTAAGACTAAATTGACAACTTTACTATGGGTCCTACATTACCCTTTTCACATCAGCAGTTAAGCTCCTCCCAACTACGAAGGCAAGTAACAATTGAATAGATAGACCAAATTCTCTAAAGCAGAAGGCAAAAAGCGAAAAACGCTGGTACAATATTGGCGTATCTAGAAAGAATGAAAATAATTGACTTTGAAAGGAAATTTTGGTAAAAAGAAAAATTACTGTGAAAAAGAACAGTATTTGTACACTTGAAATTTGAAAAGCCCCTTCAAGGACAAATATTTACAGGTTCTATGAAACTGCATCTGCTGCATGCATAACCAGAGCATTAAATATGTTGCATGAATATACCACCTTTCCTGCTATCACATTATGACACAAGATGGACCCTCACTCCAACTTTTTTCATGCAAACAATAGTAATATATAGGAATAATAAAGCTTCTCGAGCTACTCAATAAATTTATGAAGCGACATTGGTGAAAGGAAACAAAAGAAAAAAAATAAGATCATCCTTACATGTCCCTTTCATTCTTTGGGATGGTACCAAGATCTGACGGTTGGCAGGACTTTTAATTGTCCATAACGATGAGACTTGATTTTGACACGTGTGTAAAGAGATGGACAAAGAATGAATTAATGATAGTGTAATGATGATTTAATAATTTTATTTGACATTCTGTGTGTGTCACAGTATTGCAGTAGATTGACACTAATAGCCTGCACTGGAAACAGTACGACCTACCAGGAGGTATAGAGTAGATGGCTAGAGAATAGAGAGTAGAGAGTGGGGAAGTAGGCGTAGCTTCTCTCTGTCTTGTTTCTACTCTACCACTGCTTTTGTTTCCTCTGCTTCTTACTGCGTCCACGTACAAATTGTCCTCTTCCTGTTAAATTAATTGTCAAAAATTGAAAGGTTTTTTACTATTCTATGACTTGAAGTAGCCGTTACTGCTCAAATTTATTTTCTTTTTTTAACTAACACTTTATTTACTTCCCCCCCCCCCCAAAAAAAAGAAAAGAAAAGAAAAAGAAAGAAGCGAAGTAATCATTATTTGAAGTCACTATAAAATTCATCAAATTAAAAAAAAAAAAAACATTTCAGTGTTTGCTTAAATATTAATTGTGATCGCTTAATCAATCCTTTTGTTAAAGATTTGAACATGATTTAAGGTATGATGCAATAACATTGATATCACTATTAACGTGTTAGTAAAAAAAAAAAAAAAAGGGTAAATCTCAAACTAAGGAAATTAAATTTCTATTTTCTCTCTCTTTTCAGTAATTACAAGGGGTATGAAAAGTGAAAACTTAATTAATTTGTGGTCTTAGAGTCGCAGACGTTGATTGCATGTATGGGATGTTGTCATGATTTGAATTTTTTTCTTAAAAAAGAAAGAAAAAAGGCTATAGTGAATATGGGGCCTGGAGCACTGGCTCATGTTTTAAAGCAAAAGGAAAAGTCAGCGGGACATGACATTGTAATGCTTCAGCTTTTAGGAATTTTTTTAGTTAGTAAATTCAAGTGGTAGAAATGGACCATCGGTTAACTTGGGTTAGGTATTGATGACTTGTGACTAGATATTATAAAAGACTCTAAAAAATATGAATTTGAAACTGTTTATTCATTATTCATCATCACATAAAACATTATAAATGACCATGTTCATATAATAATTTTTTTTTTTCAATTTTACACCCTCTTTTACTTTTCTAACTACAATATTCTCACTATTACCTTTACTCTCTTTTTGCCTCTGTAACATTCTCTTCTAATCTTCTCTCCTTCTCCGAGTCGTCATTGTTTTTGTTTTTTGATATTTTTTCTTAAAATTCACTAACCTATCAATCAAAACCCCCTACTCAATATCATGTAATAAAATTCCATACCATCAAACGGTGAAGAACCAAAACAATCACATTAAGATGCGACGATAGCAAACATAAGGAAATAGGATTAGTTTGAATCAATTGAATTTATCAAAAATAAAATGACAATAGGGAATAAAAAAGAGATAATCTGCTCTAAAAATTAAAATCAAACAATAAAAAAAAAGAATGAAAGAGAGAGGAATTTTTACTTAATTTTTTAAGCAACAACACCTCTCCATCATCATCATCAACCCGAATTTCCCCCTCCACACTCACACACACATGTATTTATATTTGTTTAACTGAATAGAGGGTTTGAATTTAGAAATTAAATTGGAATTTTTAAGAATTTAGGATTCTTGAGAGTTAGGGTCTTGAAATTTTGAGATTTTTGTTGTGGATTGAAATTGAGGTTGAATAATAGAAAGAAAGGCTAATGAAAATTAATTGGAGTTTTAATTCGGGGTTTAAACCATGATTGAATCCGAATTGGACTAGATTGAAACTTAGGGTTTCGAGATCTCCAACAACAATAAAAATTAGGGATTTTTGAAAATAATGACTCATTTAAATTTGAATTGGCTTGATCTCAAGAGAAATCAAGCCAATGAAGGCCATTTGA